TTTCCGAATTTTCATCTTCAAGTTATTTCTCAATTTCTCGCTGGGTCAATGAAGCGAATCGAGAACCCATTCTTACTTTGCTGTCTGTGAACGTGACATTGCTCTGCCTGAAATCATGCATTGTGTGCTCAACCTACAGATTATTCACTAATCTGTAGGTTGCGCTGTTTCCAAGAATTAACTGTGGGCGTTTAGCCAATGAGAAGACAGATGGTGACTAAAATGTATAACAATAAGAATTATATAATAAATCGTAATTGAGTCACTATGTTTTTTTCACCCTCTTCGAAATTAAAACTAACCATATGTAAATTTTTAGAGTTTGTGCCCAGAAGTTCACTAGCTGTAAAATATGAATAAGAATTGGAGGTCTTTTGTAATCTCTTTAGGGTAAAAAGTCAGTGCAATATTTCAAACAGTGCACAGCCATGTTACGCCCTATAGACTCCCAAGATCTGATTAGTAATTCTCCTTACTGTCTGCGATACAATTCTTAGAATGTTGTTTTGGAGAAGTTGGTATTTGATCACCTAATAATCCCCTAATTGATATTTTTCTTTTCACTCGTCACTTTTCTGCTTAACATTATATTGATATTTTATGGAGAAATTCTGTCTTGGTCACTCATGTTAGTTGGGGTTAAAAACTGGATATTTGCATGGCACAGTGTAAGGGCTAAAGTCTAGGATGAGATGTTAATTACTGGCTAAAGTAGCCACACACTCTTGAGAATAATCACGCACAGTTTGTCGAAGTAAGATGTGGATATCACTGCACCCTTTCTTTGCCAAGTCTAGTACTTTTTCCAAGTTATCAACATGAAGTCTGGAATCCATTTGGAACATGACAATGTTTCCAGATTTTGGTAACACAGCCAGACTAAGTTGTGGCCCTCCAAAGCTTTCTTCTAAGTAGTTAATGTCCATCAGTGGGGTGTCATTGACAAAACTAACTGTGCAAGCACTGATGTAATCCTTCATCGGAATTCCAGCATCAATAAGAGCTAAGGTAGCTGCATTGATGCAAGCACTTTGGTTTGAACCATCAGCCTGAAGTATCTGTGCAGGAAAACAAATTTATAAACCCAACACAGTAAATATCTATGCAGTTTCTCTCAGTAAAGAAACGACAATTTTAAATTTAAATTTACAAGACATGTTTTGACATTCCCAAGTCATCTTCAGGTGCATATGAGCTTTTAATGGTTGTACATTTGACTTGTAATTTGTAACGTACCTTAATTTACAAGACATGTTTTGACATTCTCATGCCATCTTCAGTTGCGTATGAGCTTTTATTACACGACTCGGAAAGTCAGAGGGCCAATAACTAAAATCAACCAATCAAAATGCTCTATTGCCGGTCCAACATTCTCTAAGTATTGGACCGGGCACTGTCCCGAATGGTCCCGAATGATACCACACTTGTGTCCCTTTGAACTTCAGTTGTATAATAAATCTTGAACCAGTTTCCATATTCTACTCGTT